TTATATAATTCTGTGTTGCTATATCAACAATATAATAAGTGACAGTTTTTCCTCGAATAAAAATTATAAACGTACTTAAATTTATACTAAATACTTTAAAGCATATATTGTCTGTTGACCATTTTCTCGAGATAACAAATGATAATACATTTATATTTTGTCTTTTCTGAATATTTGAAATATTTTAGCGTCATTTAATCGAAGATTATAACTGAAATTGAAGAGTTCAAATGATGACCGTAAATATAAACTATTGATTATTTTTTGTATTATTTTACTTTTTTTTACTTTTTTAATCTTGTCAAATATGCAATTTGATTTTCAAGTTATCTTTGAGATGTTAGTCTGGATTTAATAATAAAATTTTAAGTTTGCAGGTTCTACTTATTACTTATATGTGAATATATGAGCTTGAAATATAAATTTATCATTATACTACCTAAAGTTTAAACTATATCTAATAGTACTTGATAAACTATTTTGTTATTTGGGATAATAAAGGATAATTAAGTAAAGTAGGCGACTGACTTAAGGACCGGTGCACTAGTTCTTAAGCGGTATAAATATAGGTAGATAGCGACAATCTAATGTACAATAAATACAAATTTTTTGTAGCATGTAGGTTATCTGAATAGTGGGTTTAACAAAGTTATTGGAAATTTGAGAAGAAATGTGACACAACATAAAAAATACGTTCACTCAATTCTTTTAAAACTATTGAAACATGTTTGCTTTAAATAAATTATTTAATGCAAAAGATCCCTTGGAAGAATGTTACAGCTTATTATACATAAGCAAACTTTATGTTTAACAATACTTTGAAAATTTTTGACCTTTTAACACAATCTCTAACGCAATGTTTGCACATACTTCTAGCTAGAGTATTGAATCAAAAATTAATTACTACACCTTAAAATTAATTACATAAATAATGATCTAGTAAGTAATAACTTGTCATGCAACATTAGTCATAAATATATATCTAAAGGTTTTAAATAGCAACACATGTAAAATTCAATGATCTAACATACTTACAATCGATTCATCTGGTAAATTAAGATACCAGACAAGATTTTTTACAAATTTTTTGGGACAAGGTTTGAACAGAAAAAAACACTTGCTTTTATTGCGATGTTTTGTTGACAGATGCGTTGACCTCTTCAGACTTAATGTCTACTCCGCCGTAGGCCATACCCCCTCTCCACATCATAGCTCCAGAGTTTGCGAGCGGCTCGTCGCGCCGCGCCGCCGCATCCACGAAAATTAGCCAGTTTTTGAAATTGATTTTTTGCGTTCTTCCGGAATGTCAAACAGATCGACGTTTTGGTAAGTTGTAGAGTAACTCTCTGTGAGTACGATGCCGTTTGAAAAATGGCAATATGTTGAAAAATCAGCCACGTCCAATTTTTTGTAGAGGGACCATTTTTTGCTTCTTACAGTGGTTTGCATAAAGTTTGTAACCGATCGTCTTGAAATTTAGTGCGAATGTGAAGGGGCACAAGATCTACCTTGTATTTAATTTTCAAGTCTTATTATTCAAATGAACGTGAGTAATAGGTTTAAAAAAAAAAAATGGTCCAAGAGTGTACTTTTTGGCAAATTGCGAAAAAACGGCTGGGCCAATTTTATTCCCTTTAATCATTTTCTTCTTCTTAAAATTGCGCATCTTTTATAACGGTACAACTTTCTTGTCCGACTTTCCAGTTTTTTTCTAGACGCGAATAACCATTTTCGACCACATATACCATTTTTTTTGGGCCGTTAGCTGACACAATTTAGAGTCTAAAACTATTAAGATTTGTTCAGAAACCTAATAACTACCATAATGATTTTTTCACGCTAATAGCAATTTCCCAAAATTAACCATGCTTTCCTTCTAATTATATCCTACTAAAGGTCAGTACTGGGTATTCCGTGGTACATCAGGAATACTCCGATCATCAAGGAGTTCAGTATTGTCCCTCCAATACAAGCAGCCCCTGTCCTTGCGTCAAAAATCTGCGTCTCCATTACGAACCACCCTAACCCCACCATCGCCACACTCATGAACCTCCAACCCGGGTGCTTCGACCTTATACGACGTCCATGCGCTCTCGCACAGAACCCTGAAGAGCCTTAAAATACTCTAGGTTTTCAATCCCCCATGCTTCCATTGGATGCATCTCCATAATCTCGCCGAATAGCATCCACTTCAATTCGTACGCTTCCTTCAGGAGCACTTATCTGTCCGCCGTATCCTTTACGGCCTAAACCCTATACAACTTTAAAACTATTCACAAGTACACTTTCAAATACACAACACACAGTGGACTCACACATACAATAACACCAAATTTAATCCCTTTAAGAGCAAGCTGACCTCCGAAATTCTCCGTTATTTTCCTCTTTTTCTCATGCCCTTTTGTCTTCTAAGAGAGTAGTCCTTACGGAACTGTCCCATGCGGGGAGGTTAGTTTTTGATCGGTAGGCACACCAGGTGAATCCGACACTACCACCGGATTAGCTGAGGTGTCTATGAAGATTTTTCCCTCCCCGCTCCATCATACAAAAAAAATGTTAAATGTGTAGTTGAATTTAGATGATTGTACTGCGGTGTAAGTAAATGTATGTATGTATGTATGAGCGTGTAGTTGGCCATTCCTAGACAACAGAGCACAATGCCGATGCTTTCATCGATTAGGCTAAAGTGTAAATAAGTCGCTCATTACATTAACAGTTTACTTGTAGTATCACACTTTTGAGTGCATTGTAGGATTTTTGGTTCATTGTACTGCGTTTGAGATGTGTGCACCTGTATGTACTTAACTATAAATTTGCAACACGGTATGATGCTAACGCCTTTGCCGATTCAACTTGCGTAATAAAAGTAAATTGCTCGATACGTCGAATTCCCTTCAGTGTTCTCATAAGGTAGCCTGCTGTTGTTATTTCACTGCGTATAATATCAAGGCGTTAGTAATAATTTTTAATATTTTATTTATTTTACAAATAAAGTCTGAAGAGGTCAACGTACCTGTCGATAAGCAAGTGTTTTTTTCTGTTTTATTGTTATTATTATAATTATTATTACTGTCTTTATAAATTTTATCATTATTATCGTTATTGCTATAACTATTATTAGTATTATTACCATTATTGATGTTGTTGTTATTATTACTGTTATTATTGTTATAATTATTATTATTGATATTGGTATTATTTTTATTTCTTGTTAGATTAAACACATTAGATTATTTGAATTTAAAACCCATCAAGTACGTTCATAATAAATGGCAAAAGTAATTTCATTCGGAATACGTGAGAGTGGCTCTGACTAATAAATAAATGCTATCGTGATTCGGGGATATAAATGAAAATCATCAAGTAAAGCCAATTTAAACCTTAAAGACCTAAATAAAGAGAAAATATTTTGTTGAAGTTTTCCATTAACTTTCAGGCCTTAGTTATTAGGTAAAAAAATTATTTCCGTGCCTTATTTTTTTAATTAAAGAGGTTGAAATTTAAAGATAACTAAAAGTGGTTAAAAATCAAGTAGTTCAATTAATGTACAACAAGCAAAATTTAAAATTTTTAATGTAGTAACACCTTATTACTTGCTCCTTTGCCATAATTGAATATAATTTACTTACAGAAGAACACTTAGTTGTTTAAGGATGACTATTTATTAAGCAAAACTTTTATAAATCAATATTTCGCCATTCCACAGATGGCCTCTTCAGCATAACAAACATCATGTAGGTGCTAGGATAGCACGTCGATCGGACAGTTAATTTATTTTCTATAGTTTATACATTATTACTGAATTCTGAAGTATAAAATAATATTTAAACATTTTTCATAAAAATTGTAACGAAATAACAGTACGCAAAAATCATTTTTCGTACTGTTATTTCGGTACAATTTTTAAGAAGAATGTTTTAATATTATTTTATTATCCTGAAGAGGCCATCTTTAGAATGGCGAAATATTGATTTATAAAAGTTTTGCTTAATAAACAGTCATGCTCCAACAACCTAGTGTTTTTCTATAGGTAAATTATATTCAAAATTTAAAGTCTTTACTTTAAACTTGGCTTACTTGTAGCAAATAAATGTTTAAGCTTCCAATCAAATGCTGTATAACAACGAAGCTACTTAATCTTGTCAATTATGCAATTTGATTTTCAAATTATCTTTAAGACGTTAGTTTGGATTTATCAATAATATTTTAAGTTACAAATGTATGCAGGTTCTACTTATTACTTATATGTAAATTTATGAGCTGAAAATATAAATTTGTCACTATACTACCTAAAGTTTAGCTACGTACTTGATAAACTACTTTGTNTTTTTTTAAATAACACTATTCTGAATTGCAGGTAACTTATAGAACCTTTTTAATTGTCAATAATCTAAAAAAGTTACAATTACACCCAAAATTTTACTTTTTGTGTTAATGTACTTAACTTTGTTAACCATTCTATCAGTAATTTTGTATTGTTCAAATTAAATTTCTCAAAAATTTTGTGCTCTTTTCAACGTTTTTGATGTATAAAAAAAAGTTGACTCAATTACTAAAATTTAATTTCATGTCTTTCTTCAAGTTCTTTTTTTAATCTCAAGTTTTCTGTCGTTTAAAGTTTTCTTACGCTGCACATCAATAATTAAAATTTGAGGTTCAACGATACTTTGTTTTTAATTTTGTAAAAGAAAAGGGTCGCAACTTGTACTAACGTATTTCTAGCATCATAATTAACGTTAATAAATTTGATTACGATCACAAATAGTTTTTTTTTGTTTTTAGTAACAACACTTTATTGCGTTAAATAGAAAAAACCTTATACTAGAAACCAATATGATTTTTATACTACAAATGCATTTTAACAATAATTTTAGAGATACCATGGCAGAAATTGACAAGTGTGAAGGTATTCCACCAACATCGGAAGTGTCTGAGTTACCAGAAATTAAACTTTTTGGGAGATGGAATTGCAATGATGTTAATCTTGATGACTTGTCATTGCAAGATTACATTGCAGTAAAAGAAAAAAATGCTAAATATTTACCTCATTCCGCGGGTCGTTATGCTGCTAAACGTTTTCGCAAAGCTCAATGTCCGATCGTTGAAAGATTAACTAATTCCTTAATGATGCATGGCAGGAATAATGGAAAGAAACTTATGGCAGTTCGTATCGTAAAACATGCATTTGAGATCATCCATCTTTTGACAGGAGAAAATCCCTTACAGGTTTGTGGACTATATATAATTATTTATTTTTTTACTATGCATTTTATAACTAATAATGTAGCATTAACGAGTATGAATGTAGTTTCTAAATGTTCCTTTATCGTCAAAGTTATTATTGTTATTATTATAATTATTATTACTGTCTTTATAAATTTTATCATTATTATCGTTATTGCTATAACTATTATTAGTATTATTACCATTATT